AGCGTGAAAGAGGTCGTAACCCGAGTTCCTAATCCGGTCGGTGTCAATACTAAGCTCCTTATATCAGCACAGTCGATAGTATCATCTTGGATAAGGCCCAACGCCTCTCCTTGAACGAACCATAAGAAGAGAATTCGCCTTCTCACAATCACATTTCATAATGATTCTACACGGCAACTTAGCGGTAGGAAAGGCTGGAAGAATTCTTCGAACGTCTCTTTATTACTTCTAACCAAGATCGACATTCAACTTTTTCGACCGAGACTATTCCCTTGATGGCGACCTCATCCCAGGTGGCCAGCTGTGGCGTTGGGAGGTGAAAGGAATAGTCGTCATCGCTATTTAGTTTCCAACATTTAGTAGACAAGCAACTTTGATCGTACTTCCATATGCATAGGGTGGCCGAAATATTCTGCGAGCTAGACGAGGGTATTTTGGGAAATGGTTAGCTGTAGTCTTACCAACCCACAATCTGCTATTCGGCAGCGCTATGGAGAAAGATGCAGCTTTGTGGAGGGGTTCGTAGTCGACGAAGCATCAGAGAGTGACTGTCGTTAGCTGAAGGGGAGGCTCATGACGAAATATGAGATCTCAGAAGTATGAAGCCATGCTACCATGGGGGACCATATAAACGATATCTAACATCTGCAACATCCAGAGTCTCGGGTCTCCATGCGGTTGGGAGGCACCTATTCAATCGGCAAGTAGACGTTACTAACCTTAGGTGGTATAAATGAGGACAGGGACAGACTATCTAGCTCAGAATATGGTTGCTTGGCAATGAACCTAACCCTCAAAAATCTTCGAGGTAATGTCCGCGTTCAATACAGCAAGGCACCGTCGTGACGTTGATATAAACATGTTAGTGCATGTACTTAATGTATGTCGGTACATGAACGCAGCTCACACCAAAAATAGGGAGTTAGATATATAAAGTATATGTGTATGTACCTGCATGCTGAAGGTGGGTGTATCTGCCCTTAGGCATAGTAGCCTCACCACTACCGCCGCCTACCAACACTCACTATCACTATCCCCATTACCCCCACTCAACCATCCCAAAAAAGGGAAAGTGGGGGTTGATAAAGAGCTGAACCCCATTCAATTTGCCCTGTTTCTGCCCTGTCCCACTAAAAGAACCACTAAAAGAACCGCGAGAGGCACAGTATCAGACCAGTACAGTAGGTAGACCCTGGTAGGCCCCGGTAGAGCCAGGCAGTACTGGCGCAGGCAAGGAAGGCTTCCAAATCCAGGCTCATCCCCCTGTTTTCGCCTCGCCTCGCGATCCCATCCCTCCAGTTTTGCCTGCACTAGTATGACAAGGACCCATGAAGTCCTACACTACTGTACACCTGCGTCTGAAGCATCACTTTCTCTTTTCTGTTGCTACCAGCACTTGTCATTTGTTTGTTCCGTTCCCATCATTCCCCTCCAAGTTTCCCTTCTTCTATCATTTCCTTCTCTTTTCAGCCCCTCTTTTCGCCGCGTTACCCACCGAGGCGCACCACTCTCTTTTACAACCAGCCTCGTCGTCAACTTCAAGTCTTCTTCCCTCCCCGCGCTATACCTCGGAACACACACATTCACCAACTTAGGCATCCTTTATTACTTGATATAGAATGATATAGCCTCGTTTTATTTCGTAACCCGGGTGCTATATACGTTTAAGAATCTTTCACGTCGCTTGTCACAACTACCTAACCATGGGGGTCTTTGGCCAGAAGTCAAAGCTCAAGGCTGCACCAGCCGTGATGCGTGTGGAAAAGGTCGTTGTGCCCAGTAAGCCGAGGCCAAGCCTAATATCTTCCAACAGCGCGCGCGCATCATCCGCCCATCTCACCCCCTCGAAAAGGCTGTCCCCGAACCTGCGCACGTCGCGACCGAAGAGTGCATCTCCCTACCCCTCTTCCGACGAGCCGCGGGTCGAGCGAAAGCGCAAAGCCGTGTCGAGTACGCCCCGCGATTCGCCCGCTTTTGGAAACGACACCGAATCGGAAGACGATGACGACGATGACGATCCCTTCCGAAAGCGCATGCGACGGAGTGACGGGAGGCTGGTCGACGTGAACCGCAAGTTGCGCCACAAGAAGGCATTTAGCGACGATACTAGAAAACCCAATATTATCCATGCAGCCGATATCGCGTCGCGAGCCACGAAATGTCCCCCGATCCCCGGTACCAAAGAGAATGAGGTGGCGATTGAGGTGCAGTATCCCTCGCGCTGCACGCGGGAGAGGCAAGTTCCTTCCTTAGACCAGGTTTCAACTACAATACTAACTTCATATTCAAGGTATGAGCTCGTATGGCAAAAGGATAAAATCGATGCTGTCAAAGATATTCTCGCGATTATAGAGTGTGTAGCCGAGACGTATCTCACTGATGCTGACTCCAAGGTCTTTATCGATCACAACATGAGTTTCAGGAGACAGATGGAGCGGGCTGTCAGCGAGAAGTATCGAGATGTCTCGACCTTTCGAGCTGCGCTTGACAGTTACAACACAAAACTTCTAGAGTTGGTAGAAAACGGTACCGTTGCCAAGCATCTCGACCGAATCCACCATCTTCCATCTAGTCTCGTGTCCTTGATCCTCACCCAGGTCTACGATCGCACGGTAGCCCCGAAAGTTGAAATGCTCACCAAGTACGACGCTGGAAGCGATAACGTTTACGGAGAACTGCTACACCCATTTGTTACCAAAATCCTGGTAGAGCAGACAAAAATGACATCAGACCAAGTGTTCGTCGATCTCGGGTCCGGAGTCGGGAACGTTGTCCTTCAGGCTGCGCTGGAGATTGGGTGTCGTAGCTACGGGTGTGAGATGATGGAAAACGCCTGCAACTTGGCGGAGGCGCAAGAAAAAGAGTTTAGGGCTCGGTGTTTGCTCTGGGGTGTCGCACCAGGAAGGGTTCACCTCGAGCGAGGTGATTTCCGTACGAGCGCCAAGATACTCGAAAAACTAAAAGAGGCAGATGTCGTGCTGGTGAACAACAAAGCCTTCACATCGACACTCAATGATGCTCTCATCAACATGTTCCTCGACCTGAAAAAGGGCTGCAAGATCATATCCCTTAAGTCATTCGTACATGATAACAAAACGGCAGTCAATGACGTTGCCACGAGTATCCTCAACGTCGAGTATTTTCGATACCATGAGAATTGGGTGAGCTGGACCGGATCTGATGGAGAGTACTACATCTCCACCAAGAAGAAATAAGGTCCGGCCTAGCCCATATCATATAGTGCTTTTTAACAGTACTTAACGCACATGTCAGTCGTTGCTTATATATCGTGTGGGGGAGGCGGGTTTGGACGACGATACGTAGGATACCAAAGGATCGGCAAAAATTAGAGAGCGAGAAAAACGTTTTAGATACTTACCGTATAGATGACGACGCAGTTGTAGATGATACCAAGCATAGTAATGATGATGGACAATTCCTTTCAAGTTGGCTTATGTCGCCATCATCTACGATCCTTGTTCGGTGATTCGTTCTGGAGGTTCAAGGCATCCGCCTCACGGCCTATTCTCTTCATCCAACGATCCACAAGCTCTTTGTTCTCAGCTTGCACCTTAGCCGCCTTCTGTATAGTCATATTAAGCTCCATGTTTAACGTAAGATTATCATCTTGGACATCCTAGAGAGAGGCAAAGTAGTCAGCATGAAAAGCCTTCCTTCAGACAAGCAAACACCAAGCCATAGGCTTCCTTATTTGACTATCTAGATGCCTTATCTCCGTGCAATATCCTGTATCACAGTCGACCCTCACAGAAGTTGGAGCCCAACAGACGAGATCGCACAGCCACAAGCAAACAAACAGATCACGCTCGCCCGTCTCACATACCTTGAGGAAATTCTTCTTCTTTTCGAGCTCCTCGTTCAAATCTCGCACCCTTGCCGTCAGCGCATTACGCTCGGCCGTTAGATCGCCTATGCGCTTGGTATCAACTCTATTCTTGGATCGCAACGTCGTGAGCTCGGCCTCGGCAGCCTTGAGGCGTGCCTGTGCCTGACCACGCCCGCGGAGAGCCTCGGCGAGATCAAGGCGAAACTGCGCTGCGCCTTCGGGAGAGGCCGTGGGATCGGCCGTGCTAGTAGATGGGGGTTTCGATGGCCCTGCTTTGGTGGGAAGAGCTGGCGAATCCGTGGCCCAGGCGGCCTTTTCAGCCTCGAGTGCTGCGACACGGTCTGCGAGCTGAGAGCCTAGAAAGCGGGCGAGGGAACGCCGTGGTCAGCTTTGTAGGGCTAGGAACGAAGAGACTGGTAGTTGCTTGTGTGTGTAGGGGCTGTTTTGATTGATGGGTGTTGGGATTCCGTGTTATGGTTATCCTTTTATCGCCTCAACAAACTAAACAGGGAGGCCCGCGCTTACAAGCTTCGACTAGGTCCTTGTTCACCGGATTGTTGCGCTCCGCCTCTTGCAACGAGGCCAGATAATCGTCCCGCCAATGGGACATCTTTACGGTCTTACGAGGTGTTGGCTGTGTTGCAAATGGGTCTCTACATAGCAAGTATAAAGGGTCTCGACGGAATAATAAGCGCAGAACGTGGCGCGAATGGAGGAGATCAGGTAGTAAGGAACCACGGTTTGTCTTGTACCTAGTAACACGGAATGGAGGGGCAGCTAAAATGATGTCGCTTGCTTACATGTGGTTGGGGATGGCGGGGTTAAGCAATTACTTAAGTACCTAAGTAAGGTAGTATGTACCTAAGGTTCGGTTAGGTACCTACCTACCTGGGCATGAAACTCAGTTCTCCAGCTGATCTGGGGTCACTTTCATAGGTATACAGAGAAACCATGTACATCCTAAAAGATCTCCCAATTTATTCCATGAAATATCTAGGTATTATAGGTACTTAGATACAAATGCCTTGTTCCGCAGCTTAGTTAGTTAGTCTACAACTATTGAAAGGACCAAGAGCAATGTTTTAAAAAAAGGAACACAATTAAAAAAAAAACTTCAACCCGCTTAAAACCCTATGAGGGGTAACATTGATATTGATCTCGCTGGGGGTCGAACCCAGAATCTCCTGATTACCATAAAGCATTCATTGCGGCACAAGTTCGTAATGAATATCTTCGTAGTCAGACGCCTTGCCATTGGGCCACGAGGCCGTGGTTAGTTGAGCTAGTCGGTCCGTATAGTGTTTCAAAGGACGACAGGAAAGGGAGAGAATTTTGCAAGATATGATTAACCTAGTTTAGTTCCTTTCCAGCCTGACTCGGTAGGAGGCCGACGAAAATGGAGTCAAGAGGCCCCCTAAAATTTTCTTGGTTATGTGACGCAAACAATAAAAAACACTTGCTCGCACTATGCGTTACCCCATGATCTATAAGCTCATTACTTTATAGGCAAAACATATCAAGGTAAATAAATGATAAAAGGCGCGCCCAAAGATAGTCGAATTATAAACAGGGCCAAAAAAGTATATTGCACCAGAGAAAAAGTATGCTTCGAGGCCCAAACGCGACTTGAACGCGTGACCTTGGGGTCTGCAATCCCACGCTCTACCACTATTTGTATTGTTAGCATCACGGTCAAGTATGTTAATGGTTACATGGCTACGTACCTGAGCTACTGGACCGGTTGTTGGGAAGAGAGTGTGAAAAAGAGACTAAATATAAGCATGTTGTGAGACACGATGTACGATTGGTCCTAGTGGGCCTAGATAACAGAAAATTGAGACATACTATGTGTGATAGGTTTCCTTAAAAAAAAGAAAGGGGAAAAAAAGGAGGGGAAAGAGCTATGGCTTTACAGCCTTCAACCATAACTCAAATATGAAAAAAAAAAAAAAAAAAAAAAAAAAAGGAAAAAATGATCGTTGCTGTCCCAGTGAACTGGGAGGCATCGGGAATTGAGCCCGATGCGGGGGTCGAACCCGCAACCTTGAGATTAAGAGTCTCACGCTCTACCGATTGAGCTAACCGGGCAGCCGTAGCTGCTTGTTGAGAAGGAACGGTGGTATTGCCTCTAATGTCTAGAGGTCAAACCCAGCCATGGTGCATGCGTTTTATCTCTGTTGCCTAAAGTGCCTTGACATACTTCATACAGAGACGGTTAGACTTTATTGCAAATTGTAGAGGTTATACAAAGAGAGCCATTTCTCCCGTAGAATCGGGGTGGCTGGCAGTTATAGTTGAACGTTTGGGCATTCACCCCATTTCATTATTCCATATGGTTGCAGGCTCCCTTTCCACTCTACAATAGCCATACTTTGTTATCACTTCACCAATACATTTTCCACCCGACTACTATTCCTCCTCTGGATTGATTAACTAGGCACTGGTTATACTGACTGGGGAGGTTGAAAACCGAACCGGGGGAAGGGGGCTATGTTTGTAAAGATGCTGCAGAGCAGGTAAGGTTGCTAAAGACTCGAATGCTTTCTCATGGGTCCTTTAGGCTGGAGCTCTTTCAAGTGGATCTTTGCAGAGTAAGTGGGAAAGTCTTGCCGCGTGTGGCAATGGGATAGGACCAAAGCTTAGTCCACCATTAAACTTGATTTAATGTCAGGCAGCGTTGTAGGTATACACGTATTCTCGTGATTCCGGACAAGGGAAATATACGATAATTGTAATGAGCCCATGGAACATAATGTCTATTAGTACAGCTATCATAATATGAGCAGAGGCTTAAACTGCTACAATATTAACATTACTAATATTTATTATTTTGCATTTTTTGTTGCCTAGCCTCTCTACGTTATATATGTGTAGCGAGTTTTGTTGCGATCTATTGCCATTAACCGATGAAATTTCGGTACGTTAATGAGCGAGGATCTCTTGCTGCAATGCAAATATATGATCTCGCTGTTGAAGTGTCCCCCTCCTTATATCCCATATTAATTTCTTAATGTGAATCACAAATTACTAGATGATATATCACTTCCGTTGATAGTTAGGCTAGCAGTGGAACGCTAGGTAGGTTTCTATACTATTTTTTTTGGATAAAAATCTTGAACTATTAGAGCTTTAAATTTCTTTTCAACTATGGTGAGACAGGGAGTATTGTTAACCCTAAGTGAAATTTATCTATATCCCCGTGGCAAATTCCTCGTCGTAAAGCAAATGGTTTATTAGGTTAGCGAACCAATGAAATTTGATCTCGTGAGCCAGAAAACTTTCCATCAAGCCTGCATTATTGCCATGCCATATTTGTGCGTAGGGCTTTTGGCAACCGTCTTGACGACCCCTGTTGGATAAGTTTAACAATGCGTAGAAGGATGGAACTGGCGGGTGGAGGCGTTTTCGAAATCTTCGTATAGAAACAATGGTTACAACCTACAACCTAGTTCATAGCCTAACGGATTCCTAGGATATATGGGTAGATTCATTGATATAGAGCTAATATGGGCCGGAAGGCCTCGGCTGGGGCTGCTGGAGCACCTCTGCTTCCCACGACTTTTCGAATCGTCCGGTTATTTGCGAATCATTGGGGGTTATTCTGCGTGGAACTCGGGTTTACCGTAGGAATTATTTGGAACCATGACTGTGCTAAGCCATGATTGAACCGAAACTTTTACACTTTGGTGGTCGTTCAGGTCGCAGCCTAGTCGGCCGACTAAGGGGACCACATCCTTTGTTTTCGAGATATGATTTGTTGAAGACTAGGCCTCGGCCATGGGAGTCGATCCTGCTCTTCGGTGAGAGTCGGAGTCATGATGAGCTGGCAGTCATTGCGCATTGCGAAGGCGAGAGAGGTGGTAAATGAGGACGCCGCTTTGATGCTGCTATCCAATGGTGAAAGATGATTGGACTAGACAGAATACTCGATAAAGTAACCAAGGATGGCTTGGTCCTCCTGCACAACTTATTAATAGGCGATAGTAGAGAAAGTGACATGGAGGGAGTTTAGAACCGAAGCTGGTCATATAAGCCATTCACGAGGCCCTAAAGGGTTGGACCTTGTGGTCGTCGCATCAGAACAGAAACATTTATCCCTCACATTCTTGTTTGTAGTCTTCAGTCCCTATATCCTATGCTGGAGGTGATATCATGGTTCATGAAACATTGGCGTAGATCTGTCATTGCGCTGGTTCCAGCAACATGGTAACATAGCTATTCTCGGATATCAAGTTAACTGTAGTGCAAATGGGTATCAATATAAGCTCCAATGTGCTTGTAAGCCCATAGTGCGAAAATCACATGACGACTACGGATAGCACGGATTGATGTTCTAGTCTGGAATGGAGTCCGGAACAAGCTGTCCGTACCCACCGATGTGTTGCTGCTATATACTACGGAGTACCTAATACTAGGTAGTAGTACTACTGTAACATGAGAATAGTAATGGAGAGGAAAATGGGGGCATGGGCAAGTTACTATCTACGCTACAAACTAAAGGTAGAGTAAGAGGTGTAGTGTAATGCATATACTCCGTATTTAGTATATATGACGTTAGTTCGTGAGCTAGATAATCGAGATTATATAGTACTATGCAAGTTGACGATACCAATTCGAGTGAATAGTACCTGTGTAGTGCACGCACATAGTGTACACTATCTAGAGCTAAAGAATGTGCAGCGGGTACCTATAGTGCCTACGTACATGTAGGCAGGAGAGAGCGTTAGGTACTTAGGTACCTGGTGTAGCACATTATGGGTCTCAATTAGTCCGTATTTAGTTAGTAGCCCGGGGAGAGAGGGAGCGCAAAGTGCATGCAGAGGCGTGCCAAGGGGATAAACAGGACAATTTGATTGGCCGGACGCGTGACTAGGGATTTAGTGAAAAAACAACACGACGCGTCCAAGTCAATGACACCCCTCCTCCTGTGCAACCAATCCGGAACCACTCTGCGCGCGCGGTCCTCCCTCATCCAATCGCTTACATCCACTTTCATTAATCCCAGACGGCCTTTGCACTCTCGTACGAGCTGATTCTGTTGGTCGCACATTGCATCGCACCACGAGCTGTACTCCGTACTTCGCCATATCTATGTAAAGAAAGATAACACCGTGCCGGGACGGGCCAAGAAAAGGGAGAGTGGAAAAAAGAAGAGAACGTCGAAGCCACAGAGTGAGACGATGCGAATAACGCAGCCGGCTAACGAAAAACCGTCCATTAACGTCTCGAGTAACCATCGTTTCTCTTGGATTGACTGTCCTGAACAAGCATTGCCTCTTTCTCTCTTCTCGGCTCAAAAAGGGTCGGCTTTCCCGCGTCTTCAACCGACACGATACCATCGATTCGATTTGCAGCCGCCGGGCAGATCTCTTTTCGGTCGCCTCTGGTCCCGAGATCCCAAACCTTTCTGCCCTTCACATCCTTCACATACACCACGCGCTTTCTCCCTCTCCTTATCCCCCCCTCCCCCCTTCTCTCTCTAAAACAACGACATCTGTGATCAATAGAGACCTGCCTCAAGAGCTCGCATTAGAGTCTGTCTCGTTAGAAGGAACGTACAGTAGAGATAGCATCCAACTAGATCGCCTTTGCCGACCTGGATCCGCTCTAATCTGCTCCACCACTCGCACCAAGCACTTGCACCAGGCCCTTGTCAACTGATGTCCGGTATCCACACATATATATCTTGCTTACCATTATCGTGTCAGCCCAGAGCGACTCTGGACCAATCCTCTCTCATATTCAGCTTCTTCTGCCGTGAACACGACCCCACACGGACCCACCTAGCGCTGCGCCCCGCTGGAGTTCCACTGCTGAGTTGGCGCACTAAGCCCTACTAGGTCTTCCATTTCGCACACTCACAACTCTCAGCTTGTCTAGTTCTAATCTTCCTGCCTTTCGGGCTTTCAATACCTCTTCGCCCATACCTCCTGGCAAGACAGGACATACCCACCCATCCTTAGGTACCTACCTAGCCTAGTGTATTGACCTAGTGTCCTACTCTAAACTTGCTTTTCAGCAGCTATCTACCTGGGGGTACCTGAATACTTCTGGCTAAACTACCCTATCCGTATGTACCGTCCCCTCTACTGTCCACTGCTGTCCTCCTCTGGATTCTCTGGACTCTCTCTAGACTCTCTCCTGCATTCGCATTTGCATACCCGGCTGTCACTCTTCCTCCCCCAGATCTTGACGATCCAGTTCCCCCCTCCCTTTCGTCTTTCATCTCTCCTACAGTTAACCTACCGTTCATTACTACCTATTACATG